TGAACCAGGAAGAAATAGAAAACCTGAACAGACTTATATCCACTAAGGAAATTGAGCAGTCATCAAAATCTCCCAGAAAACAAAAGCCCAGGTCCAGATGGCTTCCCAGGGGAATTTTACCAAACATTTAAAGAAGAATTAATACCTATTCTTCTGAAAATATTCCAAAAAATAGAAATAGAAGGAAAACTTTCAAACTCGTTTTATGAGGCCACCATTACCTTGATCCCAAAACCAGAAAAAGACCCCATCAAAAAGGAGAATTACAGACCATTATCCCTAATTAATATGGATGCAAAAATTCTCACCTAAATACTAGCCAGTAGGATCCAAAAGTACATTAAAAGGACTATTGACCACGACCAAGTGGGATTTATCCCTGGGCTGCAAGGTTGGTTCAACATCCTCATATCAATCAATATGATGCAATATATATTAATAAAAGAAAGAACAAGAACCATATGATCCTCTCAATAGATGCAGAAAAAGCATTTGACAAAGTACAGCATCCTTTCTTGATCAAAACTCTTCAGAGTATAGGGATAGAGGGTACATACCTCAATATCATAAAAGCCATCTATGAAAAACCCACAACGAATATCATTCTCAATGGGGAAAAACGGAGAGCTTTCCCCCTAAGGTCAGGAACACTGCAGGAATGTCCACTATCACCACTGCTATTCAACACAGTATTAGAAGTCCTAGTCTCTGCAGTCAGACAACAAAAAGAAATAAAATGCGCCCGAGGTGGCAAAGAAGAAGTCAAATTCTCATTCTTTGCAGATGATATGATACTTTATGTGGAAAACCAAAAGACTCCATCCCAAAACTGCTAGAATGCATACAGGAATTCAGTAAAGTGACAGAATATAAAATCAGTGCACAGAAATCAGTGGCATTCCTATACACCAACAACAAAACAGAAGAAAAATAAATTAAGGAGTCGATTCCATTTACAATTGCATCCAAAACCATAAGATACCTAGGAATAAATCTAATCAAAGAGTCAAAGAATCTGTACTCAGGAAACTATAGAATACTCATGAAAGAAATTGAGGAAGACACAAAGAAATGGAAAAACGTTCCATGCTCATGGATTAAAAGAACAAATATTGTGAAGATGTCAATGCTACCTAGAGCAATCTATATTCAATGCAACCCCCAACAAAATACCATCCACTTTTTTCAAAGAAATGGAACAAATAATCCTAATATTTGTATGGAACCAGAAAAGACCCTGAATAGCCAGAGGAATGTTGAAAAAGAAGAGCAAAGTTGGCGGCATCACATCCGGATTTCCAGCTCTATTACAAAGCTGTCATCACCAAGACAGTATGTTACTAGCACAAAAACAGACACATAGATCAATGGGACAGCGTAGAGAGCCCAGAAATCGACCCTCACCTCTATGGTCAACTAATCTTTGACAAAGCAGGGAAGAATGTCCAATGGTAAAAAGACAATCTCTTCAACAAATGGTGTTGGGAAAATTGGACAGTTACATGCAGAAGAATGAAACTGGACCATTTCCTTACACCACACAAAAATATACTCAAAATGGTTGAAAAACCTAAATGTGAGACAGGAGTTCATCAAAATCTTAATGGAGAATACAGGCAGCAACCTCTTCGACCTCAGCTGCAGCAATTTCTTCCTAGTAATATCACCAAAGGCAAGGGAAGCCAGGGCAAAAATGAACTATTGGGACTTCATCAAGATAAAAAGCTTTTGCCCAGCAAAAGAAAAAGTCAACAAAACCAAAAGACAGCCAACAGAATGGGAGAAGATACTTGCAAATGACATATCAGATAAAGGGCTACTATCCAAAATCTATAAGGAACTTATCAAGCTCAACACCCAAAGAACAAATGATCCAATCAAGAAATGGGCGGAAGACATGAAGAGACATTTTTCCAAAGAAGACATCCAATTGGCCAACAGACACATGAAAATGTGCTCAGCATTGCTCAGCATCAGGGAAATCCAAATCAAAACCTCAATGAGCTACCACCTCACACCAGTTAGAATGGCTAAATTTAACAAGTCAGGAAATGACAGATGCTGGCGGGGATGCAGAGAAAAGGGGAACCCTCCTAAACTGTTGGTGGGAATGCAAGCTGGTGCAGCCACTCTGGAAAACAGTATGGAGGTTCCTCAAAAAGATGAAAATAGAGCTAACCTATGACCCAGCAATTGCACTACTGCGTATTTACCCCAAGGAAACTGATGTGATCCCAAGGGGTACATGCACCCTGATGTTTATAGCAGCAATGTCCACAATAGCCAAACTGTGCAAAGAGCCAAGATGTGCATCGACAGATGAATGGATAAAGAAGACGGGTATATATATACAGTGGAATATTATGCAACCATCAAAAATAATGAAATCTTGCCATTTGCATTGACATGGATGGAACTGGGGGGTATTATGCTGAGCAAAATAAGTCAATCAGAGAAAGACATGTATCATATGACCTCACTGATATGAGGAATTCTTAATCTCAGGAAACAAACTGAGGGTTGCTGGAGTGGTGGGGTTTGGGAGCGATGGGGTGGCTGGGTGATAGACATTGGGGAGGGTATGTGCTATGGTGGGCACTATGAACTGTGTAAGACTGTTGAATCGCAGACCTGTACCTCTGATACAAGTAATACATTATATGTTAAAAAAAAAAAAAGAAGATAACAGGAAGGGAAAAAATGAAGGGGGGCGGGAATCAGAGGGGGAGATGAACCATGAGAGACTATGGACTCTGAGAATCAAACCGAGGGTTCTAGAGGGGAGGGGTGTGGCGGGATAGGTTAGCCTGGCGGTGGGTATTAAAGAGGGCATGTACTGAATAGAGTCCTGGGTGTTATATGCAAACAATGAATCATGGAACACTACATCATAAACTGATGATATAATGTATGGTTATTAACATAACATAAAAAAAACCTTAATAACCCCCCCCCAAAAAAGTGCAATCCCATCACAGACATGAAATACCTGTGTAATCAGAAAAAATTTTAAATTCTAAAATAATAAAAAATTGAATTGAAAAATAGAATGATTCCTCTATTCTTTGTATGTCAGTGTTAAAATTATTTATCAAATTAACTCTTTGTCACAAAAATATCACCTAGGATTTCCAATTGCTACTAAAGCTATCCACCTATCTATTCCATAACTCATGAATAGTTCAATATTTATGACCTAGTGTAAAGTATTTTCTCTATTTCTTAGTCCTCCATGTCTTTTAATGTCTTCATTCTTCTAATGCCATTGGATTCAGGTGCCACTACTTTGAAAGCTCCTCCTTCAAGGAGAGCGGAAAGTATTCCATGAGCGTCTTACTCAAAGAAGTCTCACTACTTCATTCTGATTTTCCATATGCCCTCCCTTTGCCTTAGAATATTTTTTTACTGAATATTCTATCTCCTCTTTTTCCATTGTGAAGAGTCTTCATATCTCCAGGTTCCTAGAAGGAAAAGCTGAAGAAATACTATTTAACTAACAAGGCATAGAGGAAGCAGAAATAGGGCCAACAGTCATAGGATAGATTGACATTTTAAAAAATGTCCTCCTTCTTCCAACTGTGTATTTCCATGGCTCTAATTCTTGTATGAAATTTTGACTATAGTTTCTAGTAAGAATGGAAAACTTAAAATGCAATTCAGTACAGTATTTTGTTTCATTATGAATTTATTTGAAAAAAATTGTCCTTCTGTCAACAAATTATTCCTATCAAAATGTGGGACATGTACATTGCATTTCAAACTGATACTTACTGTAGTCCAACTGACCTGTTGACCTAGGTCTGTAAAATAGAGAGTGACAATGGAGGAAGCTGCAATGCTTTGAATGGTTATGTAGTCCTTCAAAAAAGGCCCACCTTAAATAATAAAGAAAAGTATTTTAATACAATTTCAAGACATCATGATTTTTAACAAACAATTTTAATGTGAAAAAATTGTGAATGCTAAGAATAAATCATACATAGAAACTGCAATGTATAATAAATATTTAAAGTAAAATAAAATGAAACAAACCCATTTTATAAAATATCTAAGAATTTTTCAAATATATGGTAGTTTCCCACCTTTACCTAAACAAAGTGCAGATTATCACTAGTTTTCCTAGGATTAGGAAATCCTGTTGTGTTCTGAAAAAATGTAATACTGGATAATATCATAACCAAATATGATACAGGATATTTTTAAAGAATAATTTTTGGGGGAAAGGGCACCTGAGTAGCTCAGTTAAGTGTCTGCCTTCAGCTCAGATCATGATCTCAGGGTCCTGGTATTGAGTCCTGTGTTGGGCTCTCTGTTCAATGGAGAACCTTCCTGTCCCTCTCTCTCTGCCACTCCCCATGCTCATGCTCTCTCTCTCTCTAAAATAAACAATTAAAATCTTTTAAAAAAGCAATATTTGGGGTGTCAGTAGACATAGATGTCAACTCTTCTCTAAATTCTTTTATTATTTGATAAATTAGAGCTAATAAATTTTAGTAGTCATTGCAAGCATCAGCAGAGTGACTTGATGTATGCTTTAAAAGATCTCTATGGATGCTGTGTGGAAACTGGGAGGAAGGGAAGCAAGATTACTTAAGACGAACTCAAAATTCATCAAGCAAAGGATTTTTTGGATTAAGATGGCATCAGTAAAGATGTTAAAAGTTCATCAATTTCAGATATGTTTTGAACATAGAGCAGGTTCAACTTGAGAAGAGAGTATTTCGGGCAATTTGGAGCATTGTAATTTCATTAACTGGCAGGAAGAAGACTGGGGAAGGAGCAGGATTTGGGGGTGGAAATTAAGATTTAAATTAACGTATGTTAAGTGTGTGATATTTATTAGACATTCAAGTAGGAGCTGTCAAATAGGCAGTTGGGTAGGTGTGTCTGTAGATATTTGAAAGCCATTAACATTTAAAGCCATACTGTGTGATGAGATTATTTGAGTGTTCAGTTTGAAAAGAAAATGGAAACTGAAAAAAGTTTCTAGCACTATGGGCTTTAAAAGTAATAAGAGAAACATACAGCAAAGATTACTGAAAAGGAGTTTCTCATGAAATTCGAGAAGAATAAACAACTGATGTCTTACAAGACATGTAAAAGAAATGTTCTGTTCTTAATAATAAACACTAGATAAGTCTGAATGTGTGTACTGAAATATATGTACAAAATGTTCTTTTTAGCATTATTTATAATTGTAAAACAACTGTAAAAAGTTAAATCTTCATAAATGAGATAATGCTAAATCTATCTTGTTTTATTCAAACAAAATTATACCATACAGAAGGAAAAATAAGTGGACAAGGGCTAAATGAATCTCATAAGTATAATGTTATTTTTATTGCCATTGTAGTTGTTTGTATTGATATTATTCTTTATGCTAATCTATCTGTGATTTATCTTTACCTTTTTCTCATGAAAAAGTGTCATTTCATTCTCTATTTTTTAAAGATTTTATTTATTTTTTTGAAACAGAGAGAGAGAGTGCATGAACATGGGGGACGGTGGGAGAGAGAGAAACAGGCTCCCCACTGAACAGAGAACCAGAAGCCAAAGTGGGGACCCTTCCAGGACACTGGAATCATGACCTGAGCTGAAGGCAAATGCTTAACTGACTGAGCCACCTAGGCGTCCTCCATTCTCTATTTTTTCCAAGACACATTACATATTAATTTATGACTATTTTTAGATGATTTTCAGAATCCAATACCTTGGATAAAATGTAGGATAAAATGTGCAATTGTTATATATTAATTTTAAAGATGGCATTTGATAAAGCCAATGTGAGTATGGTAGGCTATCATTCCCTTGATTAGGTTATGCTATGTGGCTTTATAAGAGAGATTATTCAGGTGGGTCTGAGCTAATCATGTACTATTTAAATCTGCAGGAATTGGTAAGCCACAGGAATTCAGATTCAAAGTACTAGAATACTGGTACTACAGTATGAGAATGATTGCTGGAATGAAGATGGATAGGGCCACATGGCAAATAATGCAAATAGCCTCTAGGAACTGAAATGCCCTATAGAATGTGACAAGTAGTAAGGAAATAGGAATCTCTGTCATACAGCCACAAAAAAACAAAACAAAACAAAACAAACAAACTTCAGACAATAAGAATGAAGACAGAAGTAGAATTTTCTAAAAGTCTTGAGATGAGAATTCAGCTCCGCCAACACCTTGATTACAGCTTTGTGATACTCTGAGCAAAGAATCCAGCCATACTGTGTCTTTAAGCTAATAAATGAGTGTTATTTTAAGCTTAGTTTGTGGTCATTTGTTACACAGCAATAGGAAGTTAATGCAACATGGGTCAAGGTAAAGACTTGGATACACAAATGGTCAAAATCATTTTGACAATCATGTATAACAATAAGAAATGTTAATAAGGACAAAATAATCTGAGATCTTTGTACCACTTGATGTACTGAAAACATCTTTCCAACATACATCTATTGAGATCTTTGGAGAGGGGATTAGTTTCTACTCCTCTATTACTTTTGATGACTTCAAGGAACAGACCATTGGCGTATTTTTAAAATGTGAGATTTGCATAGAAGGAACTGAGAGAATCCAGGCATATCATTAATCATACCACTCAGACTCAGTAATCAGGGAACCGTGTCTTTGGCCTTCTATGTCTATGTCCTTTTCCAAAGAGAGAGGAATGGGTAGGGCCAAGAATATATTCCTAAAACAAAAGCCAATTCCATGGATATCAGGCTTCAGCCACTTAAGGCCTGTGAATTTTCTGCCCAAATTAATTTAAACAAATCTTCTTTCTTGGGCATTTCTTCCCAAAAATTGGGCCAGACACTAGGGTATGTACCTAGGGGTTTGTCAAGGCCCTTGTATAAGTGCTATGGATGATTAGAGCCAGGGCTGGGAAGGAAAGGACCAAGTCTACCCATGCTTCATCTTTCTGTTTTAGAAATCCAATGATTTTAAGCATTAGAAATTCAACTCTGTGCTTCCAGAACATTATTAAGTATATTAATCAAGGTAGGAGAACACATTTTATTTATTTATTTTTTTAAAAGATTTTATTTATTTATTTGAGAGAGAGAATGAGATAGAGAGAGAGAGCATGAGACAGGGGAGGGTCAGAGGGAGAAGCAGACTCCCTGCTGAGTAGGGAGCCCAATGCGGGACTCGATCCTGGGACTCCAGGATCATGACCTGAGCTGAAGGCAGTCGCTTAACCAACTGAGCCACCCAGGCACCTGAGAGAGCACATTTTAGTTACCAGTTTCTATGACAGATCTATTACAATTGTGACTTCAGTTCTTTACCATTCCCATATCCACACCATTTACAATGTGACTTTTAGTACCCCCAGAAGAGTTGGTGCCTATTTCCCTGCGCCCTTGAATATGGGTTAGCCTAGTCATTCACTTTAGCTAACAGAATGTAGGGCAAGAGATATGATACTTCCAAGCCTGGGCCTTAAGAAATCTTAAGTGCTTGTGCTCATTTGTTTGAATCCCTGAATCCACCATAAGAACAAGCCCCAAATATTCTGCTAAAACATGAGAAACCACAAAGAGTAGAGAGGATTGGCTACAGTCATGGCCATCCTAGACCAGCCAGTCACTAAAAACCCACCAGCTGACTGCAGCTACTTGAGTGCACCCGCCCAAGTAAGGCTAAGTCTAGCTCAGCTCAACACAACCACTGAGCTAAAAAAAAAAAAAAGTTTAATAATTTGCCCATGATTATCAATGTTTGCTATTTTCTTTATGTTTTACTGATGTCTTTTGTCTGAGGAAAATGTAGAAGTCTAAATCTGCATGATGTCATTGCTCATAGTATAAGCATTCTGGCAGGAAATATATGTAAATATTTAGGGCTTGCTTTGTTTCAGTGTTAAGTTTTCTTAATATGAATAGTTATAACCAGTTATAACTGATAGATGAAGCATCTACCATGTGTCAGTAATTATAGTGCTTTATAAACATGATCTTATTTAACATTTATAAAACAAAAACCAAACCATGGGTTAAGTTCTTTATTAGCTCCACTTTACGAAAGAAGACCCTATAAATAGGTAAGCAGAAGAGTCAATTTTAAAATTCTGTTTTACTCCAAACAACCTCTTTGCACCACATCCTGCTTAGCTCGCTAAAATAATTGAGTCTTTTATTTTTTTTCAAATAAGTCATCACATTCTTATTCAAGAGCACTCAGAGGCTATATTTCATTCAGATCATACCCTGTAAATGTATGTGAAGGGAAACCAAATAAATATATGTGAGGAGAAAGTAAAAAGTCACATTCCCCAGGAAGGTTGAACTAACAGAAATTCCCTGTTTCCCCCTGTAGTGTTCTTCAAATTGAATTATATTTTATATTGATGCTTATGGCATTCTAGAGTCTTCATTATATAAGAGTCAAGTTCAGAAAACAATACCACTATATAATTTTATGTTATTTGAGCATCCATGTGTTGAAAGGCATTTATATGGTTGGCATATACTAGGCCCTGAAGAGGTAAAAATAAACAAGAGAATGAGTCTTCTCTTTTAAATTCTAACCAGATAGGAATTTTTCTTGAACATTTGAGCTTGAAAGAATTTGAAATCATTAAGAAAGTATGACTTCCAAGAATATCATGGATTCTCATTTTTTCAGCATAGATGTCTCAGAGAAACCTGGAATGTCTAAGAAACATTGAAAACAAACAAAACACCTTAGAGAGATGCAAGGAAATCATCATTTGTCCTTAAGTAAAGGTAATATCTGAGAAAGAATGGCCTGAGTATTAGCAAAAGTACCAGGAAAAAAAAAAAAGGGCAGTTCACCACTCTGGAAAAATTTAGAGATTGAAATTCCTTAATAGATGCCTCTTGTAGATTTACTATTATTGACTTCAAGTAATCTTCCAAAATTTATATTCTACCCATAGCTCTTATTTAACAAGTCCAAATTTAAGGTCAAGTTGATGTAATATTAGTGACAATGATTATTAGCAGGAGTAACTTTTAAGTGTATCTATTTATAAATTTTTTGAATGAAGAATAGGATTTGACAGTTTGAGAAATTTCAGACTTAATACTGGATATTATATTTTCCCTAAAATTCATTAATTTCTCCCCTCCTTAGCTCATTTATTCTGCTTTAAACAGAAAAGAAGAAAGAAGAAAGAAAGAAAGAAAGAAGAAAGAAAGAAAGAAAGAAAGAAAGAAAGAAAGAAAGAAAGAAAGAAAGAAAGAAAGAAAGGAAAAGAAAAGAAGAAGGAAGGAGGGAAAGGAAGGAAGGAAGGAAGGAAGGAAGGAAGGAAGGAAGGAAGGAAGGAAGGAAGGGAAGGAAGGAGGTAAGGAAGGAAGGAGGGAAGGAAGAAAAAGAAATTATTGAGCTGTATCCCTGAGAACATATTAGGTGATAGTAGAATGAGAGAATAAAGCAGTAAAACTTTTAGAAACAGAAATATGTTAATTCAGATCCTGCCTCCAATGCACATGACAGTGGAATGTGAAAATTATCCTTTAGACTAAAATTCCTCATGCAAAAACTGAAGCACTAGCTTATGGGGAGAATCAATCGACATACCTGATCTATACCACTTACCATAATGCTTGCCATTTAGTTAGTGATAAATAAATATTAACTATTGATGAAAGAAAAGGGATTCCAAATTAAATAAATAGATCAGTGAAAATTTATTCTTACCTCGTTCTAGCTGCAGGCCAACTCGGGAAGGATACCACTTTGGACCTATTCCATGAAAAATAAAGCATTTAATTGTCAGCACAAGTGTATACACATTTTAAAATCTAATAGTCTCTTTGGGTAGATTCCTAGTAGTGCAATTGCTGGATCATAAAGTAATTCTATTTTAAACATTTTGAGGAGCCTCCATATTGTTTTCCAGAGTGGCTGCACCACTTTGCATTCCCAACAGTGTAAGAGGATTCTCCTTTCTCTGCATCCTCACCAACACCTGTTGTTTCTTGTCTTGTGAATTCTAGCCATTCTGACTGGTATCAGGTGATATCTCATTGTAGTTTTGATTTGTATTCCCTTGATGATGAGTGATGTTGAGCATCTTTTCATGTGTTTGTGGGCCATCTGGATGTCTTCTTTGGAAAAATGTCTATTCACATCTGCCCATTTTTTTTTTATTTATTTATTCATGAAAGACAGAGAGAGAGAGAGAGGCAGAGGGAGAAGCAGGCTCCCAAGGAGCAGGGAGCCCAATGCGGGACTCGATTCCAGGACCCTGGGATCATGACCCGAGCCGAAGGCAGACGCTTAACCATCTGAACCACCCAGGCGCCCCCACATCTGCCCATTTTTAATTGGATTATTCATTTTTGGGGTGTTGAGTTTTATAAGTTCTTTATATATTTTTGATACTAACCCTTTACCAGAAATTATCATTTGCAAATATCTTCTCCCATTCTGAAGACTGCCTTTATAGTTTTGTTGATTGTTTCCTTTGCTGTAGCAGAAGCTTCGTATCTTGATGAAGTCCCAACAGTTCATTTTTGCTTTTGTTTCCTTTGCATCAGGAGACATATCTAGTAAGAAGGTACTATGGTCAATGTCAAAGTGGTTACTGCCTGTGTTCTTCTCTAGGATTTTTATGGTTTCAGATCTCACATTTAGGTCTTTAACCCTATGATCCAGCAATTGCACTACTAGGTATTTACCAAAGAATACAAAATACTAACTCAAAGGGATACATGCACTTCAATGTTACAGCAGTATTATCTACAATAGCCAAATTATGGGAATAGCCCAAGTGCCTTTAACTGATGAATAAATAAGGAAGAAGTAGTATATATGCACAATGGAATATTACTCAGCCCTGAGAAAGAATGAAATCTTGCTTTTTGCAATAATGTGGTTGGAGCTAAAGTGTAGTGCATTAAATGAAATAGAGAAAGACAAATACCATATCATTTCACTCCTATGTGGAATTTAAGAAACAAAACAATCAAAGGGAAAAAGAGGAAGAGGCAAACCAAGAAATAGACTCTAAATTACAGAAAATAAACCGATGGTTACCAGAGGGGAGGTGGGTGAAGGGATTGGTTAAATAGGTGACGGGGATTAAGACTGCACTTGTGATGAGTAACAGGTGTTGTATGTAAGCATTGAATCATTAAATTGTACACCTGAAACCAATATTACACTATATGTTAACTAACTGTAATTTAAATAAAACAAATGAATAATAGGATTAAAAATGGGCAGAATACATGAATAGACATTTCCCTCCCCACCCCAAGAAATCTAATAGTTTCTGTTGGAAGACAGATTCAATCTTAGGAAGTGGATAATGTAGTTACCAGTGTCATAAATGGAGATAGATCTTTGCAGTGTGCTGATGAGCAGTGGTTGATAGTTATGACGAGAGCTTTAGGGTGGTAATTTTCTGTTTTTTAATCTGGGATCTGGCTACATATATGTGTTCAATCTGTGGACATGTACCAAGGTATATGACATAGGACTTGTGCACTTTATGTAAGTTATTTTTCAATAAAATGCTTAAACATCTTCATTTAAAACCAAAGAACATTGATCTTATTATTATTATTTTTTTTTAATATTGACACCTGAGAGTGGATTATTTTCTTTACCAGGAATAAAGCACCCAATTCATATTGGAATAATATGTATTATTGACTTTTAATAATTATAAGCCTATTGATTATAGCAGACCATCACTTTAGTATCTTTTCCTTATACTATCATTAGGAATAAATACATAGTTTACCAAAGAATTCTACCTGGATAAGGAAATCAAAATACATTTACCATATACAGCCATAATAGAAAAATTGGTTCACTATTACCAGAATATAATTATTTTCCCTTAAATGAATTCTGTTATTATTTTAAAGTTTCTATTGAAAATTTAATTCTTAACTTTGATATCCAGTATTAAGCAAATTAACTTGATTTATAACATATTAAGAGTACTGTCAAAGGAACATACTGCATTGCTCTTTTGTTTTCAAAACATTACTTTTTAAAGTGGTAATAAGAATGATGATAATAAGACATAAGTAGACTATTGCACTAAATTCTCTCTAAATTTATTGCAACAAGAGAACTTATACATGCACATTATCATGGACAAATAACTCATAAATCAAAAATTATAATCACAGGTTTAAAACTATTTAGGATTATAAACAAAATTTAGTAACAGCATGACAAATGAGCAGACACAAAATTTAACTTTGACATTTGATTTTTTAAATTAGAGAATATGCAGGTAAAGACACTTTATTGTTTTGTTTTTGTATTTACTAATAAAATTCTTATTATTTATATAGCCATTGTTTTTTTCTGGAATGTATATTAACATTATTTGCTGAAAGATATTTTAAAATAATTACTTGTATTACTCATAGTGAAAATCTGCTGCCAAAGAAGATATGATGCAAATGCATACAACAGAGGCTTCTATAGTTTTAATTGAGTTTCAAATATGGGTATTGGAGAAATTACAGTCATAATGGGAATCCATTTATATTGAACAGATAGTCATTGAGCACCTATGATGGGTGTACATTAAAGCTGCCAATTTCTGTCCATTTAAATAATATTCACATGAGATACTGCTTTCAACAACACTTTGTGATGCCTCCTATTGTGGAAATAAAAAATTATCATTCTAAGCCGATAAAACTCTCTATGAACTAGATGACTGAATACTGGCTGAACCCACACTAATACATCAGAGAAATTAGAAGCTCTAAACACTTTTTGGGAAATCCATGACCTTCTAACTCTGTCAACATAGATCTGCTTATGGAATAAACTTGGCATTTATAGGTTGTGACCTTTTAACACTGTGTCCTAGTGAAAAACAGTTATTAACTGCCTATATAACCCTTTAGATTAGTTTCAGTCACCTTTCCAAAGAGCAAAGAATACATTTGCTGAAATGTTCTGTGCTTGTTGTGGGAGGTGGAATAGGTTTGAAGAATAGCAGAAAAAAGACAGTATAAATGATAAAGAACATAAGTTGCATAAGGATTTTTAGCATGGATGAATAGTCTAAAAGATTATTTATATTGTGGAGTACATTGAAGTTAGATAACTGGCTTACAGATGAATTATAAATACATAGGAGATCTAATGCATCTGCCAGTCTCTGAATTTATGAAGACATTGAACTTGATTTGTGCAACTTTTTTCATAATCTAACCATGACTTATAGTTCCTTTCTTGATAATTAAAAGTGTTTATATCACTAAGGGATAACATTCTATTTTAGTTTAGTTTAGTCTAGTTTAGTTTTGTTTATTTATCTGAGAGAGAGAGAGCATGAACAGGGAGACGACCAGAGGGGGAAGCAGACTCCTCGTTGAGCAGGCAGCCTGACCGGGGCTTGATGCCAGGATCCTGAGATCATGACCTGAGCCAAAGGCAGACGCTTAACCAACTGAGCCACCCCAGTGCCCCAAGGGATTACATCCTAAATGGGTAATATATGCAATTCAATATATATGTACTTCAATATGTAATTCAAATATATTTATTTTAATAAGGTAGTATTTTCCAAACTGTTAGTTGTGAGGCATTAATAAATTGAAAAATGGACTTAGTGTATTATTCTTAGCATTACTTAAAGGAATAGAACAGAATAGTGTAGAGTAGAATAAGTAGAGATGTATCATCATGACACTGGACCCAATGTATTGCAATAAATTCTAGATAGGTAAGTAATGTTTCTTGAACTTTTGTTCAATAGTTTAAATTGTATAAGTACATTTTATTTTTATAAGAACTATAATAATTTCTTATTCACAGTCAAAAAGTTTTGAAATCCATGAATCCCAAAACACTTATGCCCTCACTTATGACCCTTGGTAAAACTTGTCCTTTACTCCTACCTTTTTCTTGATTTCACCTATCCCAGTAGGAAGGATAAGTTCTGAGAGCAATTATGGATTAAAGAAAGTTAATAAATATGATGGAGCCTCCATATTGAACCATAAAGATTTCTGGGAATAAATGAAATGGTGATCAATTTTTGTTGTTTACATCCTGAGTTCTTTGTGGCTGGTGTTGTGAGATAAGATAAAGAATAAATAGAAATAGAATATAGACCTAAGAAGTATGCTATGCAGAGCTGGCTCTGTTCAAGAGGTTAATGGAAGAAAGATGAAGTTCTACAAGCTTCTACATGGCTGTTTAATTCCTCAATATTCCAGAACTAGATGTAGAAGAAAATAAGCAAATTTGTCTGGTCTGTTCACTGTGACCTGCCACTAGATACAAATGTGGCTATTAAAGCTAATCTTGGAGATGACAGTTCCAGAGAGTTAGAAACAAAGAAGTCTTAATTTCCAAATAATTGATAGATACAAGATAGGAAATAGATTCTAAATGTTCTGAAAAATAACAATGACACCTGTAAAAAAAAAAAAACCTTTAGATAATAAGACTCAAGAAAATGTAGCATTTTTTTTTAATAATCTCTATGCTCAACGTGGGGCTTGAACTCACAGCTTGAGATTGAGTCACATGTTGTACTAACTGAGGCAGCCAGGCACTCCAAGAAAACATAGCATTATAAGCTAAAGTGTATTAACTGTTATTTCTAATAACCCATTTGAAAGAAAAAGTAAATTGTATGTATATATAATTATTGTAATATATAACATAATATATAATATTATTTATATTTGTAAAATTTATCCTTGTTTATATACACAGAGGCTTCTTTGACAAAAGACTGAATAAAATTTATA